TGTGCACCATGGAATAGTGCCGTGCTGTTCAGTATAAGGAAATTAACCACTGTGCTTGAGAAAGTATTTTGTGTGTGAATATTTGAGACTGTAAAAAGAAGAGATAAGTCCATTTTACTGATAAAGTAACCATTCCTCCCAGAACAGCCTCCATGTAAACATATTATCAGCTTACAGAATGTTGTTCCAGGGAAACTACATTGGGAAACAGGATCAAACACAATCTGGTAAAAACACAAGGACACTTGATGTTTTGGTGACTTGTTAATGAAGTGTAACCAATTACTGGTGTTTGCCTTTTGGCTGTACTGTACTGTCATCAGTATTGTAGGCTGAGAATTCATTTTCACTCAGGTCCTGTCTGGAGGAAAATGGAGTCTCAATGACTCTCCTGAATAATACTGTGAGGTTCACACAATTACTTCCATTTAACAGTAGGCCAAACTATGGCTTAGTAAAAGATCCAAGTTAGCTTGGGAGAAGCCCTGGTAATTGGAAAAATCTCAGTCAATTTGTCTTAAAGCCTACAACTTTCTCCTAGAACTGTGCTTGGACAATGTTAGCATGAGAAGAGAGGTAAGACTTCCTAGCCAAACATCACTCTATGAGATCTTATCTTCCCCCACCCCCACTTTTATAGGTTGGCTTCCCATCTTAATGCTAGATGTCAACATGCTTCTACCCCAGGGCCCACATATGTCCAAGTGCCTTGGTCCTAGCCTCTAACTCAACAATAGAGGATGTTTGGGAGGATATGGAGACTGACCTTGCTGGTATATGGAGAGTATGGCCTAGTTCACACTTGTTGCGGAAGGAACATTTTCTCTGAACACAAAGACATAAGGTAGGCTATTCATCACCAGTTTACAGATGAGGAGTGACATTCAGGCTAAGAAGCACATTCTATATCACACAGCTAGGACTTGGTGCAGACAAGATTAGAACCTGCTCCAGAATCTAGGCCACTATATACTACATTATCTTCTTCCTTTATGTGAGTGGGTGATGTGAAGGTCAGAAGAGAGTGTTGGAGTCCTGGGAGCTGGAGTTATAGTTGTGAGCTGCCAGATGTGGGTGCTGTGCTGGGAATAGAGCTTGAGTTCTCTGGAAGAGCCTCCTCTTAAGCACTGAGCCTTCTTCCTCTTTCCTTCCTTCCTTCCTTCCTTCCTTCCTTCCTTCCTTCCTTCCTTCCTTTTTCCTTCCCACCCTTCCTTCCCTTCTCATTCCCTCCCTTCCTCCCTCCCTCCCCCGTCTCTTTTGTTCCTTCTCTTTTTGAGACAAGTTCTCACTATAGCTCTGGCTGGTCTGGTACTTGCTATGTAGACCAGGCTGGCCTTAGATTCTTAGAGATCTGTATGCCTCTGCCTCAGGCCTGATTTTTTTTTCTTTTTTTTTTTTTTTTTTTTTTTTTTTTTTTTTTTTGCTCTTGTCAAATTTATGTGATTGTATTGTAGGCAATAGTCTTTTGGCATTTTATGAATAACACATTTTCTCATTTTATGGCTTGTTTTTTCACTCTATATTGTCTTTGTGTAACAAAAATTTCTGATTTTAATATTGTCAAATTTACCTATCTTATTTTTCTGGCTATGTTCTTTTTTTCCTGTTAGTAGGATAGTATTTTTCTCATTTCTTACAATTTATAGATTCTTTTGATGTTCCTAAGTTTATAACCACATAGTACAGTTGGTAATGTTTGAGTTATAACCCTTTTAGTTCTTCTAATACTCAGTTTCTTGTCATGTTGTTTTGACTCAAGCCTCCAGGAGAATGTTGTCTAGGTGGTGCTGACAGTTGGCATGGCTTCATTTCATTTTAATGGAAATTCTTCTCACGCTTTTAGTAGATATTCATTCCATGTATACAGTGGGCATACACTTTAGGAATGGTTCTTTTTATTCCTAGTTTGCTTAGATTTAAACAAACAAAAAACAAACAAACAAACACGGATTACTATGTCTTTAGCTGATGATGTATTTTTTCTTCTTTTCTCTGTTGCTGTGTTTTACATTAAAAGTTTGTTTGAGACTGAATTACTTTGTAAATTTTTTTTTCTAAAAGAAGTGCAGCTAGGTTGTTATACATTCTGTATTTCTTTTATATGTCTGACTTTTTTTCTGAGCAGTACTCATGGTCTGGGTGTGAAGCTGGGTTATTAGTTACTTTCTTTATGTAGCTGTTGTATCATGTTAGTCAAGTCTCAAGGGATGAATGGAGAGAGTCTCCAAAAGAGTATGCAAATTAGAATCATCTGGGTTTCTTAAAGGAAAGAATTTTAAACCATGGATCCTATTCAATAGTGGCAGAACTTGCCAGGCTCTTTATTTCTTCTAGAAGAAGATGGTGGAAGATACTTTTCTAGTCATTGTCTCTTTCATCAACATTTGCAATTTTTTGTCCAAAGTTAGTTTTTTGCATGCTGTCTCCTGCATATCCCTGTGTGTTGTGCTTTTTGACCTGATTATCATATTTTTTCAAAGAACCAATAGCTCTATGGATTATCTCTATTGGGCCTTCGTCCACTCATCCCCTGATTAATCTTAACTCATCTATGAGGCAGTGTCTCTTCTGTGGCTTTACTTCTTGTCTACAGGAACTGTAGACATGAGCTATTTCTTCTTCCTCTTGTTTTACATTTTATGAGTCTGAGAGAGAGAGAAGGTAAATAAATATATGCTGAATGGATAAGTGGCCCTTTCTCCTTCCCTTAAACCCAGCACCTATGCATTGTCTTTGTTATTCCACCCAGGAACAAGATAAGCATTAGACTGAGTCCTCCTTTTTAGTTATGAAAACAGTAGACAAGGGTGATAGACAACTTGCCCACCCAAGGACAATTCCTTTACTGTTACCTTGCCAGTGTTGACACCTGTGATCAGAACATTTCTGCAGATTTGTTTTTGGAAACTCCTTCTGGCTTATTTATGAATCTTGTAAAAAACAAAAAAACATACAAAAAAAACCCATTATTTTTTGTTGCTCCCAAGAAAAACAGTTTCCATTTTTCATCATCTTGATTAATCATATTTTTTTTTCCAAATTAACTTGGATCAACTCAGAAACTCACACCACCATGAAAGGACAAAGATGTACTAGGGTAAAGCACATTTAAGTGATCAGAAGACAGTAGCTAAAGCACACCCCAAGAGCAGGACTAAAAGTTGTCCCTACCCCAGTACAATCTTTTTTGATTGGTTTAGAGATGGGGCCTTGGTGGGAAAAGATTATATGGCCCTGTGGTGTTAGTTCATACTTTCTGTGACAGCTTTATTGAGGTAAAACTTATTTATCATACAGTTTACCCCCCCCCAAGTACAAATTGCAGTTTTTATATAGTCACAGAGCTGTACAACTCACAGCACCATATAGCTTGAGATTGTGTCCATCTCACCAGAAGAAACATCGTAGTTCTCAGTAGTCACACACCCTTCATTTCCTACCATCGTTTATTTATCTCAGCCTATGAATTTGCTTATCTGGATATTGTATAAGTGGAATCACATTATTTGTGGTCTTTTGTGATTGACTTCTTTTATGCTGACATAATAATTTTCACAGTCATATCACCCCTTTGTATGGCTAAATAATATTTCATTTACTGGATACATCACAAATATGCACTGACTAATTGATTGATATATGGATTATTTGTACTTTTTGGCCAATGTAAACAACACTGCTATGAATATCTGTTTATAAACAGGCTGATTAAATAGATAAATAAAATTTAGTGTATCTCTATAATGAAATAAAATTCAGTTATAGAAAGTAATAGAATACTGATACTTGCTAAGATTGTTATTAAACTCTGAGTGCATATGAAACCAAAGAAACTACTTATTTCATGATTTTACTGAAAAAATGTCTTTCATAGGCAAATTTTTAGAGACAGAAAGATTACTGGCTCCCAGGGCTTTGGTATTGGAAAAGAAATAGGAAGTAGATTGCTAAAAGGTACAGAGTTCCTTTCTGTGCTGTTTAAACAGGATAAAAAGTGTGTTGTTGGTTGCATAGCTTTATGAATAAAAGACCCTGAAACTTAACTTTTATAAGGTTGTGATGTATCACAAAGCAATCAGTAATCTATGTCAGTATGTAGCATCCAGTACCCTTGGAGGCACTGTGGCACTCAGCTAGGAACCCCTCTAGGAAGTTCTCATTCCCAAGTATGAAGGTGAAATACAAACTCCTACAGTGTAATCAGTGTGCCATACTGTGCTAGTTTTCTGGATGCAGGCCACATTCAGAAAGATCTCAGTACCTTCTGGTGTCAGCCACAGGACTTCAGACAATTCAAATGTCGCCTGCTCCAATATTTATATAGCTCAGATACAGTATTGTCTGTGCCTTGCAACACCATGAGTCCCTGTGGACGGGAGTCCTGCCCTACGTCCTGCTTGATTCCTCTGTTTAACATTGTGGTCTGGTTCATAGGCAGGATTATGTGTCTGTGAATGAATGAGTAACTGCTATTTTTGAAGCCTCCTGGTATGTCCCTGGGCAAAAACCATCTCCAGGCTTGTGGCTGCCTCCTCTGAACAGTCTGAGGTTGGTCTGGAAAGGAAGGCATGAATTCCCCAACTGACTTCATTCAAGGGATTCTTTTTCCCAACTGTTAACTGCTTTCTCTGGTGCTCTCCACTGTGGTGACTGGAAACAATGTTTGGGTACTCCAGAGTGTTGTGATTTCCTCTCTGCTAAGATAGCCAAAAATTGTGGGTTGGGTCAGAGAGAGAGAGAGGGGGAAACAAAAGGCTATTGAAATAAGTCTTAATTGGCTTTTCTTTCTCCTTTCTTTTTCTTTTTGAGTTGACCCAGCATCAATGCTCTGAACTGTGTGTAGCTTATGGGTGTTGGCTTAATGAGAATTTTTTTCTTTTTTTCTGTGAAGGTACTCTATGTTGATTAAGTTCTTTCTGTTGAATATCCTTTGCTTGCACTGAACTTTTATTTATGTTGATTTTTTGCTTCGTTTTTTTTTCATTTCCCATGCTGTTCAGTTACTGGATGCCAGAAGAACCAAGGTTTGTCCACTCTTTGCAGCTTGTTTGTTTTGCGCTGCATAGCCTCACCTCGTGTGTTTGAATGTGCTGTCTGTGTCTCCATTTATTCCCTTTTGCTTGCAGTAATCCTGTTTACTAAACCTGTTCACAGCTTTATTTGTAAAAAAATAAAGTCCTTGTTTGTGTCTACTCGTATTGGATGCTATTATTTTCATTTTTAAATGGATCTTCATTTATCATGGAAAATAATGGATAAAGAACATCTTAGGAAACAAGGAATACTGAGTCTGGAGTGTTGTGGGCCTAAGAAGGTGTTTCATGAAAGTTTCCCCTCTAACCCTCTCCGTTTATGATGTATAATTTCCCATGTGGTTGACACTAATACACCGTTTCTGTGTGTGTGTACATTTCTCTTCTCCTAAGACATTCAGAAAGCATCACTGAATTAATTACCCTCTCCATGTGCTGTCCCATGCTTCTGAAGTCACCGTGGAGGACTTCATAGCTGGCCCCTGGACCTCATGATTAACATTCCATCCTCATGGTGTGGTAGCGGCGGATAGCACGTGGCCTGTTTACTGACTTGCCTCCTTTCTCCTCTCCTGCTCCATATTTCTCACTATAGCACCTGCAGTTGACCATCCAGGCCCTTCAGGATGAGCTGCGGACCCAGAGAGACCTCAACCACCTCCTGCAGCAAGAGAGTGGCAACCGAGGAGCGGAGCACTTCACCATCGAGCTGACTGAGGAGAATTTCCGCAGGCTCCAAGCTGAGCACGACAGACAGGCCAAGGAGCTGTTCCTTCTGCGGAAGACATTGGAAGAAATGGAGCTGAGAATCGAAACACAGAAACAGACTCTCAATGCCCGAGATGAGTCCATTAAAAAGCTCCTGGAGATGCTGCAGAGTAAAGGGTTACCATCCAAAAGCCTTGAGGATGACAATGAGCGCACCCGGCGGATGGCAGAGGCTGAGTCTCAGGTCAGCCACTTGGAAGTGATTTTAGATCAGAAGGAGAAGGAAAACATCCACCTGAGAGAGGTAAGAGCATTGGGTCAGCTTCCCAAAGCCTTGCTTAGGTTCTGAGATGTTATTCAGGTATTTCACAGGTTGGAAACGTCTATAGTTTCAACCTCAATCCCCTTGTCATTGGCTCCCTGATCTACTCTGCCCAAGGCTGTTAAGGTAGAATTTGGTGTGTGCCTTCTTCTGCACTCATCACATGGGTGTTAGGTTATTATTCAAGCTTGAACATCACACAGTAACTCTAATGTCATTTATGCTCACTTTTCCACAGGTGGCTATGGTTTGGGTGGCTTTTGGGAGTAGGTCTGTTTAAGTTTGGTTGCTGGTCAAATATCTCTCTAAAGAAATAAAACAAATAGGTGATTAGAAATCAGGGACAGAGTTTATGGAAAGGAAAACACAAGTGTGTTTTTGAGAAGAATGGTAAAATGTACAAAGCAACTCTGAACATTTAGGTTTAAGATAATCCTCGTCTGCGTTTACATTTGTCCAGAACAGACTGTTCCAGGGTTTCTGAGTAAGTGTTTCATCCTTAGTGTATTAAATCATTTGAAGTCATCCGGAAGCAGTTTCTCTGGCTGGCCACCACCACTGAATGTTGAGATGCTGGGATATCTGAGAATTTATGGTTAGTTAAAACCTAGAAAAAAATGTGGGTGTCAGCCAGGGTTTGAAATTGTTAACACAGTTTTCTTGCTACTGTGGTTGTAGAGATGGATATAAAAGCACCATGTAGGCAAAACTGCTAAAGGGAGACACATACCACACAGCAAATTACAAGCCTTAGATACATCTTCAAAACACAGGCAGTGCTAAATACTAATTTCAGAGTAGACTAGATTTCTTGGTATTGAATACCTGCTTAGATGGGCAGCTGCCTTGAGAGAACCTTGTGTGATGTTAAGAATGTGTGGCTTCCTTGCTGAGATTTGCTAAGATACCAGTGTTCCCATAAGGTTTCTCTAATATTGTTTGTATTTGCTTGGAATATTTTAGCAGACTTTGGTATGTTCAAACCTAATGTCCTCTACTCTTAATCTCCCTTGCTTTATTTCCATGAGGTCTTAGCCACATATTTTGGAAACCACATGGCTTGGTTTTATATTAAGATACTTAAAGAGGTGTTTTGTTGGCCTGCTCTTTCCATTTGAATTCCAAGAGTGTGAATGTGGCGGGCAGATTTCTAAAATGATCTCCATGGTCCTTACAACTTGGATTTCACACCCTTGCACAATTACTTTCTCTTGAGGACTCGCTAATTCTAGAGACTTGCATCTAAAAGATACAGTATAGCAGAAGCAATGGATGTTGAAGCCACTTCTAAGACAGGGTTACATAAGACTGAAACTTCTACCTTGTAAGCAGATCTTGTCACCGTCATAGTGTTTTGATAAATCAAGCTGCTGTACAGAAAGGCTGGACAGTTAAGGACCTGAGGGCAACCTCCAGCCAACATCCAGGGAGGTGAGGAGGTGCTCAGCATGTAAGCCAACAATAAAACCTGCTGGCAGCCTCAGTTGAGCCTTCAGATGAGGTAACAATACTAGCTGATGCCATCACTGCAGCCTTGTGAGACATTGTGAAGCAAAGGACCCAGCTAAGATGGACCTGGCCTTTTGATCAGTAGGAAAGAAAAGAAACTATGAATTAATGAACATGAGTTTTTTTGAGTTGACTAATTTGGGAGTCATTTGTTGTGCAGCAGTGTGTAACAAATACAATAGAGCAGCAACAACCACTATACTCCTCTTTGTAAGCCTCCAATCTAGTTTACAAAAGAGCAACAAACATCAAGACTGGTCAGATTTTTTTTCTTTTTCTTTTTTTTTTTTTTTTTT